ACATATATATATACTAAAATTTATATCAGAATGTCAAGGAACGAATATCCTTGGTTGAACGCCTATACACAAATTTTACTAGACGAAGACGCTCGGTCCTCAACAGAATTTGCTTCTAAATGAAAGATTTCAGTTCTAAACGAGTCCCCAAGAAAAACCGAACGGTCAAAGACCATTCAGTAACGAACATATATTATCATAGAGAATTTCATACTTAGAATCATTTATCTCAATCCATTTCTCAACATTTATCTTCATAATTTCATACATCCATATCATAGTAAATTTTCATACTTCATACAGTCAAAACATAGCAACAATTATATTTCATATTAATTCAGCAACTCAACGAACATACATACAATCCAAACAAACATACAAATCAAATTATATAAGTTTCTCTTACCTCTGAGCATGACCGAACGTTCACAGAGACAGAATACGGTTTCACCACTACAAGTCCTTTTACCCTCAACGCTCAACAATTCTCCAAAACTAAACCAAGTAAAACCAAAACACAATCAGAACTACTAATTTTGGATGAGTGATCAACACTTGAAACCAGAACTTGGTTTACATGTCCAGAAAACCGCACGGCTAAGTGAAGAGAAGAACTTACCAGCTCAGCTTCACAAACCGATCGGTTCAATCGAAAGCTCCTGACACCGGAAGAGGGGAAATGGTGCCTGAATGATGATCGAAGAAAGAAACGATGAGGCTTTCTTAGAGAGAAGATAGAGCTTTTTAGAGAGAAGGAGGAGAGAATGAAATTTTTCAGAATCTGGGGAAGAAGGGTGCATGCAGAGAGTGGCGTGAAACTTTGAAACTTAGAGTTTTTCTTCCAACGTCAAAACCGAACGTCCACTCAGTTGCTTACACCTGCCTTCCACCATTTGAGTGTCAGACTCCCTTCTTGACACATGTAATCCACTAAGATGGTACGTGCGTGGATTTTAGTGGTTCTGATATTCTCCCTAACTACAAAAATTTTCGTCCTCGAAAATTAAGGCTTACCAGAAAATAGACGAGGATACAAGTCTCTCATGGCATCTTCCACTTCCCATGTAGAGTCGCCCGTCTTCTCGTCCCAGACAACTTTCACTAATCTGATGGATTTTCCCTTGAAGTACTTAGTTCGACTCTCAGCAATGCTAACTGGTTGTATCTCCATCGAACGGTCTTCACGAATACGAACGTCCTCTAACTCCAGCACATGAGAAGAATCCGCGATATACTTCCGGAGTTGGGATACATGGAAAACTGGGTGAAGGTTGGATAGTCGAGGAGGCAAAGCTATCTCGTACGCCACTGGTCCGATGCGCCTCAAAATCCGATACGGACCAATGAATTTGGGAGACAACTTCTTAGGACGAACGACTCTGCCTACACGCACGTCCTTAGCAAATCTTCAATGCTGACCGGTTTCAACTCTACCGAACGGTTATATTTGAGTAAGGGTCTGAATGGTTATGGGAAGAGAGTGAACTACAGAAGAACTCTAAAGTAAGGAACCGGTTGATAACATTTAAATAAAGAGATAATGACTTTGAAAGGTTAATCGATCGGTAACATAAATACCGAACGAGAAAAATTACTATTAGAAAGAGTCACAAGTCTTCCAAGGGAAAAAGATTTAATGGAAAAGTTTGTTACTGTTGGAAGAAGAAAGTATAGATAATTGCTGAGTGGTTTGAAGAAGAGTATCCAATATCTTAGGTTTAGGCAGAGACTGGATTTCTTGGTCATTGGAGAAAACGAGACTTCATCTCTGACCCCTAATTGATTCAAAGCAGCCGTTCGTACAAATCTTCGAATGTCTGAATCGTTCTATTTGTCTGGTCGTTCCTCTAGAATGATAACTGAACAAGTCTTCAACTGGTTGCCCAACTTACTCTTCAATGATTGCACAGAACCAAGAGATGAATTGAAAATCTCTGCCTGAATTGCCACTAGATTGCATTCTAAGCAATCAAACCACTTCCCTGCTGTAGAGTTGAACCAATCCTTATCATTAACTTCTCAAACCGATGACTATAAAGCGAAAATATCACTGTTATATATTATAAAAGAAAATAAATTTTAATCTCATAAGGGCAAAAATGTTTCATTTTAAAATAAATTGAAACTTAATTAATCAAAATAACAAATATATAGATTAAATTGATATTTTCTTCATGACACTTGTTATTAGAATAACGCTTGACATTGTCATTATTACATTATATTATATCTTATCTTTGATAATTTTTTAAATTAAAAAAATAAAAAATTAAAGAAAATTAAAAGATCCAAAAATTGACACATGACACGTGATATGTAAGTTAACACTATTGACATAATATTGATAAAAATAATCAAATTATAATATATTTTAAAAAATAAGAACCTAATTAAAATAGAAAATTAAGGGGTCAATTTAAGATATTTGTACACTAAATTGATAATAAGTGGATCGAGTACAAATAGTATTTACTCGCTGTTTAATTTACGATAAAAAATGCACTTATTACTTATCCGGTTATCTATTTAATATCCATTTAAAAATTACTCACAAGTTTTAGAAACTCGTAATTACATGTATATATTTAAAAAATTAATCTGTAAATTTTTAAAATAAAATTTAGATAAAATTAAAAAATAATATAAAATATAATATAATTAAATTAAATTTAAATTTTATTTAAACTTTAACTAAATTTAAATTTTAATAAAAATTAACTTAATAAAATATAAATTAAATTTTAACTTTAATATTTTTGTAAATAACCAAATGATATCTATGCCCTATCCATTTATTAAATATTAAAATATTCCTTATTTATAAATAATAAACACTAACATTATCTGTCGTTGATTTTATATAAATATAACCCAGTCACGGTATATTTTTGTCATTCTAGACTAAATGCATAATTTACCCATGTTTAAACACGTAAATACACGCTTGAATATTAAATTATGGGATGTTTAAAGATGAATATATTATTACA